AAAAAAAAAAAAAAAAAAAATTCACATAGTTCAGCATGAACAAACCGTTTAAAATTTAGAAATTTTCCTTCTCGTTTATTAGCATGCTTAGAATTATTTGGTGTGAGCTAACAATTGAAGCCTATTTACTATCTGTAGTGTTCGTCGTGAAAGCCTCAAATCACAAATAAACTACACGCGAACCACAAGTTATATAATTCGTAGTGTGTGAAACCATTTCAAGACACATTTTACCGTTTTTATCTCCACAGGAATTTGCTACCATGTTCCATTTCTTGTCTCCCTGTTGCTAATATTCTGCGGTAAAAAACACTGGGTTCCATTCCTCCCCACCGTTCCGATCTGCTTCGTTTTGATGGCCGTTTCTGTCGCCGTCCTCCCTTCCTTTGTGGCAGCTGGCTTAACGCTGTCCATCTTTCCCATATATGGTGTGATAATCGTTAATGGACTTTGTGCTGGTCTCAGTCAATCACTAGTCAGTCGAATGGTTGTGCTATTTCCGGGAGGAAAAAGCAGTTTGCTGATACGCTGCGGTGAATGTGAGTGATACGTGTTTTGTGTTTGTGTTTAGCAATTTGAATGACAAGTATAATCACTAAAATAATATAACTAATTAGAAAAGAAGAGCATCTATTGCCTGTTGAAACAGAGTTCTTCTGACTAACGTTGACACACGGTGATTAAATTGATTGATCAACTTCCTTGTTTGAATAAGGCTGAGTTGTAAATGTCACTTGCCAGTTCAAATGTTTCCTTTTAGTCAGTTAGATTTGTCAATTTGTCATTTGTCACGCATAAAAGAGGTAAAACTCGCGCCTCTCTTCAACTCACTGAAAGCTCTCGGTGTTTGAGAATCATACAGTGAAACTTACAAACGAGTACTTTCCCCACTAACCTTAAATGAATTTTTCTCCTTAGGTATTGGCTCGCTCTTTCCAGCAATGGTCCAAATCATTCTTATTCTGTCAATGGGTCTGCACTCGACCGAACCACAACTGACTGAATACAACACACTATGCCTTAACGTCTTGTTCGGCGTTGTGTTTCTTGGAATCGTAATCGGATTCGTTTCACTTATCAAACTCAGTAAATCTGGAATATACGCATTATTTGCTGGGCGAGACTGCATTGCTCACAGTCCAAAGAACATAACACTGGGTTCTGTACCAGAAACAGCGAAAAGACGATATCACACTATTAAATGGTATTTAGTCGTAGAGTTCTCATTGTCTCTCGTCAGTTACTTTGTGTTGTCGCTTGCAGCGTTCATTCATGAAGCAACTTTACAAAGCTCACACTCAAGCACTGTGCCATTTTGGAAAGTCTACCTCGCTACAGTTTTAATCGCTCTTTTCAGAGTCGGAGACATTTTCGGAAGAATTCTATCAAGCCGCTGCTGTAGTGGACAGCAAACAGTGAACAACGACGTAGCAATGTTCGTTTATTTGTCTGCCTCGATTCTTCGCCTCGGTTTTGTCCTCGCTGCAGTTTTTTTCACGCACACGCCGTTCTTGGTTTACCACAATGTGTTTATGATGGGTTTTTACTTCGTGCTGGCTTTTACAAATGGCTTTCTTTCCGTTGCCATGACATCAAGATGTCAATCATTGATTAGGGTACAGAGGAATGACACGTGTCCCATTGTCTCGCAGTTTATCTGGTTTGCTGGACTGTTTGGAGCAACCGTCGGTATCGCTTTATCATTCGTACAGTTGACTATATGATGTGAACCACTCGAGATCTCGTCTGAATTCACTGAAACCCTTAACGTATTATTTAGCTAATAACCTATTGGAGCTCGCTAATGACACGTTATATACATTTATCTGTAATATACGTTATAGTCAGCGACTGATGCCATTTCATGACAAGGAACTTGAAAAGTTCGGTCTGGTTATTATTTCTATGGGAATATCAAACGGAGCAATCCAAGATAATTCCTGTCTGCGAGAGTTTAGCGTATGAATTTGAACATTCAGAAAGGAAACAGAGGAAAAATAACGAAAAATCTAATATAAAAATGCAAGTTTATAGGACAAGTGACAATAATTAGTACCCAAAATTTCGTTTTCCTGGTTGAGACATGTTAATTTGATGTAATATACAAACACGAAAGACCGTGTTTGACAACGTTTCCAAACAACGAAAAGAATGTTAAAAATACGACGCGTGACGGAGTACTTTTGACGAACTTCAAAGTGTTCGGAATTGTGGTCAAACACGGTCTTTTCAAGTGTTTGATATATCTTCTCAATCGAAACTAAACCAAATCAGAAAACAGACAAATAAAATCGTAAAAATCTATGCTAGTTAAGATCAGATGTCCAAACACCGTCAGTCATGATTATTATTTATTGAGTTTGAGAAGCCACGTTGCTGTAACCAATTGCACTGAGAGTTTTCGAATGATGTCAAGCTGACTATATTGCCGTTTCCAAGCAATCTTTTTGTCTCCTTTAGGAAATGAGACTGTTGACGTAAACATCTCCCATCTCACATTGTTCAGTAACACCAGCATGGCTGCGGTGTTCTATGGCCGCGTGCAACTTCTGTCACAAAACAAGTTGTATGAAAACATTGCATTGCGTTTGCCGAGATCATACGCAGCTTAAAGAGGTCGCCATAACGGCGAGACTACCAAATCTTTAGAGACAACAGCGGCAGGTTTTCCGCGCCATATGAAAAACAAGATGGCGGCCGTCCGAGGGATGCGTACGATATTGATGAACACACTGAAAATAGGGAGCTGAAAACAGTCTGTCGCTGAACTTCGTTCTATTACCCGCCAAGCGAAGGACACTCTTTTCAAATTGACAAGTTGATCTCTCCTTTTATATTATCTCAAGTGCTGAGTTATAAAACCAGAGGTCGATAAAATAGATACATCATTAAAACCAACTTTTATTTCCCTCATAACATTATTATCATGTGATAAGTAAGAAACAATTCAAATTATAGTAAAAAAACAAAAACAAATACGCTATCGTAAAAAAATAGTTTTGTTTTGTTTTCATAGATGCTAACAAACTCATTCAGGTACAAACAAGTAAAGTAGATATAATTATTTACAAAGTGAATAAAAACCATGTTGTCACGTGCTGCTGACTCTCCTTCGGCCTGATTTTCTCGTACTTTGTGATCCATTTCTCCCTTTCGGTGAATTGCTGCCATTTATTTTCTTTTTGTTTGCCACGTTAGGATTAACATTCTCCTCATCATTTGAATCAATTCTAATAGAATCTTCTTTTTCTTCTTCTTCTCCCAAGTCAAATAACTCGAGGCTATCATCTTCGTCGCTTTCAAGCACGGGCATTTTTCGCCGCTTTTGATTGGTCGATTTTGCTTTCCCAGGCTTTGGCGGTCTTGCCACGTTGCGAGGCGTTCGGAGAGGCCTGGGGCTAGGTTCTTCCAGGTCACTATCGTCGATCGTTTCCTTCTGTCGTTTCTTTGTCGCTGGCGTTCGACCTTTCTGGGCTCGGTTTGTTTTGCCTGAAGAAAAGAAACCTTGCTCACATAACGATGTCTACTCCGAGAAGTGTGCCGGGAAGGTGCTGGTTTAGTTTGTTTGTGCCGGGCAAGATTACATAACAACAAGCACAGTACATATCAGTCATGGTGCACTGGGCGATACAGGCGAGACAAAGTCTGTGTTCAACAGTTCATATCAACTGGCAGGTTGCCTCTGCCAGCCCGTATGGTCATTTTAGGCAGCCAGTACATCAATTTTATTCCTAATTAATTGTAAAGGCAAGAAAGAGTGCAGATTGTGTTTTGTTTTTGAGTTGAGGCTCCAAAGCTACATGCAGCCAGTGTTTTGTCACCAGCCAGCTGTCCTTTAGCGGCTAGGAGTTGATTGTTAATCCCAACCAATGAAAGCTATAGCAGGTTACCCGTCAGTGGCATATGTATTTCCACTTTTAAGTCAAATCTTAAAACTTATCTTTTTAAATTAGCTTTTAATATTTCTTAAATATGTATATATAAATAAATGATGTAGTGTTTTTTATTATTTTTAAATTTTATTGTAGACTTTTAATACTTGTATAGTTTTAGGTTATTTATTGTTGCAATGCGCTTTTGATCACCTGGTATGTTAAAAAGCGCACTATAAATCAATAAATTATTATTATTATTATCTTCAAGATTTATCCAAAAAAATTGCTAATCGCCATACGAGAAACACAAGTGCATGGTGATAAATTTGAATACAGAAAATCAGTGCTGTCGATAGGGAACACATTTCTGCAGCCGAATAATTTAGGACTCATTTTTTAAAATAACATTTCTAAGGTCACGTGTGTTCTTAGCATCACAAAACTTCTTAAACGTTTCCCGTTCTTGGGGGCTCAGGAGATGCTTGACAGAGGTCGCCTTTTACACGCCTAAGACAAGATGCTGCACGTACACAGCAAACTTACCTCCAGGGGTAGCGATGCTCTTTTTAGTCTTGTTACCAGGCGCCGCTCCTAAGGCTTTAGCAGCTCGTTCGTAGTCCTCCTCGTCCTCCATTCCTTTTGTGTGACAATGGTTAATGCGCTGTTCCAGTTCATCCACCAGAGCCTGACAAGAGAAGTGAGAAATATTAACTCATCCTGTCTGCTTTTCACATACTTTTTAAAGTTAGTTTTGAAAATGTGATAGCACATCAAGACAAAATTGTTTCCTGTAAACCTCTGTGATCGACATTTTGCGTTGGGAAATCTCGTGATCCCAAGTAGACGATCACTGTAATCTTCTCTTAGTTGATCATACGAGAAGGGGAGGGTTTCACACAGAGAATCAAGGTTACCTTGACATCTGGTTTGGCAAATTTCTTGCTCTTGCCGACAATGGTCAGGAACGACTGGTACACGTCTTCCTCGGCTAATTTGTCGTGGAAGCAAGTGAAGTTCTCCTGAAGTTTGCGGATTCCACGCTCATTGTATGACAACATGGACAGACAGAAGGCTAGATCACGCCACTGGCGCTCAGTTCTATGGGAAAAGAAATAAAATATCAACGAGAAAGAAGGGCGAAAACAATAGACTGATTGACTGTTTGACTGTTTGACTGTTTGATTGGAAAGAGCATAACATTAACATTCCAAATGAAACTATTTGATTGATTACTCCTTATTCTCCACAACGTAATTTCCGCAAATATTGCTGAACAATGACCCTGAGGATGCGCCACGACGAATCATCGTTTGAAATCATACCCGCTGTTCTACACGTGCTCTGATCATGCAACGAGCTGAAAAGCTCATTCAGAAAGCGAGAAGCGCAATAGGGTATTTTTTTGATGGTGCACGTAATTTAGCAACTAGATGCCATGTAGCCGTGCTTCTGTTGAGTAACAGATCACAGATGACGTCAAAATGTGGTTTAAAAAAAAAAACACACGTGATATGGGCACACAAGATTCCGCGCGTGTCGCAGGTCGCATATTTTCTTCGAACTCTGACTGGCTAAGAACGCTACAAGTTCTCGAACGTAGGGACAAGCTATGCGAATACTTTGGTTTTTGCTATACGAAAATGTTTGGAAAATCACCGTAAGTCACTAAAAAAAAATTATCGTTATCTTACTTGGTTGCTCTGAATCTGTGGCACAGTTTTTCCACAAGACTCTCAGACTGACGATCTTTCTGAATAAAGGACAGCAAATACCTGTGATGTCAAAACCAAATGAAGATTATGGTTACAAATATTAGTTGATCCTAGGTCTGACACGTTCTCATTGTCGTGACCGACAATGCCACGAAAAACACCAGTTTAAATAGCAGCTATAGCATGCTTATACCTCATGATATTTCTGAAAGGTTCTTCTTCAATGCCACAATCAGGGTCTGACAACCGACTTATCACATCTGGAAGAATGTTGTAGATTGCGTTGCCCTAAAAACATAAATAAACAAAAACTATGTCAGGTTTTTCATACTTCTAGTTATTATGCAGTCATGTATCTCCCTGCCCCTTGTTTTTTTAAGGATACAAACGACCTTTACAACAAGTCTATGTACGTGTATATCCAGGAATACGAAGCTATACTGGGCTCCTTAAGATTTACCATGATAAATCTAAAAAAGGCAAATTTATCATCTTTTTTGAGTTTGAAAACCCGCAATTCTAAGTTGTGAGTGATGCGACGTATTTCCGCGAGGAAGCATTGCTGATTACAAACACTGGCATACTGCTGTAATAAGTAATGGCGGCTTTTCAGCCTTTTCACTGGATATACAAACATAATTCTATATAAAGAGTCGTACAGCAAGGGAATTGGCGACGATAACTTTGTGCTCTAAATTGACAAACTGTTTTACCTTCTTTGACAATTCCAAAAAGAACAGCTTGGCTAGATCGGATATCCTGCTGTCTTTATCTTCTAAACACGTGGCCATTTCACTGATCTGGCCTTTGACCTTGACCATGTCATTCAGAATCAGATGCGTGAGTACCATCAGCGTGTTCTTACGCACATGACTTGACTCGTCACGCAATCTGCGGGATCAAAAACATTTGAATCCTTATGAGAAAAAAGGCCAGATTGCTACCATCGTTCAAATGCTAGCGTGACTTCAAACGTGACGTTCGACAAGTTAGTTACACCGACAGGTCTCTGATGAGTCCCTTGGAAGGTCGAAGAGGGAATGATTTTGAAATCCGACATGTTTCTTGTTGCGTTTTTTTTTTCCCGCATTTTTGCCCTTGACCATGCACAAAACACAACTGTTGTTTACTTCTGACTGAGGAACTAACCAATAGAAACGATTTGGTTAAGTATTCATGTATAGTGTATAAGCGCAAAACAAAAGATTTTCCATGGTCGTGGACTTTGCAACATAAATCTTGGCGTCTTTGTTTGTTACTTTGATGTTTGCCGGGGTTCAAAACCACTCCCCTCTTTTAACTATGGCAGGAGCCGGACGAAACATGTAACAGCTTGTCCGGCTAGCCTTGAAGAAATAAAAAAACGNAGAAATAATAAAAAAAAACCATTGTCATGCGTGGTCCAATGATTCTATATTCATGACCTTCCAAGAAAGGGTCTTGGTTGCACCCTCCTGTTATAATAGCAAACAGACCTGGCATAGAGATGAGACGTCCATGGCTCGATCAAGTTGGGAAATCTGAAGGTCAGGTCACCAACGGCTACAATCGTATTAGCTCTGATGGTCGGTTGAGGAGCCTGAGAAACACAAAATGGAGAAATACATTTTAAATGGCCTGAAAGTGATCGTAAGACAGTTCTCTCGCAGTCAATGAAAAAAAAAAAAGCAAAGTTTTCTCTAAGGAATAGTGCCCCTATATTTCCAGTCACAAAAATAACATGAACAAACCGACTACCGAGTGTCACGCTCAAGTCAGTATGACGTCACGTTGCTCAGCGGCATACCTACTGAAAACTGGAGGCTTAATCAATTCTTGAAAAACAGGACACAACAAATGACAATAAAAAGTAATCCCCGACTGTGACGTTCGTCCGACCACACCCTTCTTGGATAACTACATGAAAGTGTCAATAACGATCTTTAACTGCGGACGGGGAAATAGTCATAAATCAAATCTCAAGTTACCTTTTCAAGAATCGTGAACAGAAGTTGGAGATGCTCTTCACAAAACTCAGAACTGAAACAAGAGACAACACAGATAGTTTATGTATGAGGCGCAACTGCTCCTTTATTAAAAATTACACTTCACCAGTTAAGTGCGAACATCAGAACAATTAAATCGCTTTGCCTTTGTTTGAACAAATTCTAGTTACGCTGTAATGAAATGCTTTTGAGTGGCACATCGTTAACAAAACCTCAGTCATTATTGATTCGCCGTGTTATAGTTTCTAGCCTTTAGGCGGTGTGTACACAAGGAAAGACCAAGTCATGAATGGGATATTTGCAGTTTATTAAAAGCTGGATCATTGGATAATGCAATTCAAGAGGTTTCATTGGATTAGCCATCATGGTATACGAGCCATTATACAACGCTCTACAAATATAGTAAGCGTGCGAGTGATTTAAGGGCCGTTTTATTTTTTATTTTATTTTAGTTTTCTATATTTGGGGGGAGGGGCGTTTTTAATAAAACAATTATTCTACTCGCAATATACCACGAGAAAATAGTGCATGACTGAGTTTTCAGTTAGAAAAATGGTAGCTGCGTCGAACAGGGCACATTATGGCGTGAAAACAATAGAAGTGATTTGGATCGAGTCCAGTGACATACCTGACTAACATGAACTTAGCAAGAGCCAGTGAAGCTGATGCGCGCAGGTTTGGATCACTGTACTTCACAGGATTACTGCAGACACACACTAACAGCGGGCGCAAGGAAGCCAACAGAGTTCCACCTGCAGATGTCAAATAACAATCATCCGTTCCACTTATTATAATTACTGAAAAATTATCGTTTAACTTGTCTAAAATCTTGCTGCTGAGAAAACTCTATATGCCTGTGTTTCCAGAATTTCAACCGTCGGCGCTTCTCTACAGCTTTCTATATTCTATATTTTGATTGAGTTGACGGTATTGCACTTAACTTATTTCCGATTTTCTAGTTTTTTTGTGAGAAGTAATAGCAAACTGTCACATCATACCAGTAACAATCTCGTGTTCACAGATCTTTCTCACATACTCCGTCTCTACGTCATCAGCCGTGGCTCCTGTCAGTCCCAGTTCCTCCTCGATGGTCTCCGACGCGCCTGGATCCTAAAAGAATTTCAAAATTGTCCATGTGTGCGCATACAACTAGGCCCTACATCTAAACGTTCTGCACATAAAACTCACATTAAGAGAATTTTAGCTGGCGTTTCTATCAGCCTTCTTGATGCACATCTACACACCGTACACATCCCTTCGTTACAAATTTAATCCTAGCGTTAAACATACGACTTTCTATAATTTCAGCATTGTTCCTGTGACCTAATTTGACAGAAGCAATGCAGAAGTTGATCTAAAGTTGATTTCTCTCCTAAGCTTTTGACAGCAATCGTTTCTATTTTCGATCCAGTGTGTTTTCGCTACCTTGGCAGAATTGACAGTGGACTCGCTCCCAGCTCCCCTCGTCTTCTTGGCTTGTTTTTCTTTCTCCTTATCGTTCTCCTCGATCACTTGTCTCCGTTTGATTTCTCCCAGTACCCCAACGTCCAAGTGAACCATATGACGTAACGCCACGTGACCTGACAAGCTGAGAAATCGCGCCAAAATACCAGCATGACACGCGGTTGGAGAGCTAATAGCGCGAGTGTCTTTCTGTGTGATGGCTTCCTGTGAATCTGAGAGGGAAGCAGAGCAAAATAAACTACAGAGAAACCAAATGCGGTTATTTCATTTTCGCCTATACCTTAGCCAAGATGTTGGTCGCAAATAGGAATTTATCTTGTCGGGTTTCGTAAATGGTCGGTGCCAAACCATGTGTTAAATATATCGAGTGTTAAGTTGAAAGCGAATCATTGCAAGTGATTATAAGATTAACTAAAAGTGACGCAATATTTAAACAAACAGGAAGTCAAGTAACGTTTCTAATTAACAGTAGTCTGATAAACATTATGGATAGCACACGCAAACAACCCACGATGGGAAACTAAATAAACACAACTTTAAAAATTCTAGTTGACGAATTTGCCATACGATTTTGTGTTCAAGTATGCGAAATCCAGCTACCATTCTGAGATAAATTAGAAGTTATAGATTTCGCTAATACGAAGGGAAATGAGGCAAAAATAATAATAATAAAAAAAAAATACAAAAAACGAAGTTATGGATTTACTTAACGCAACAACCACAACACTGACAAGATATGTCAAGTTACACTATCCTGAGAAAAACAGCTTGGAAAAACTTGAGCCGATTCAAGATAGTGATTGTGGGGGGCGCCGTGGCTCGTCCCCGGAGCGAGCGGTCCGGGTTCGAGCCCTAGCCGGGGACACGGTGTTGTGTTCTTGGGCAAGACACTTAACTCTCACAGTGCCTCTCCCCACCCAGGAGTATAAATGGGCACCGGCGAATTGTTGGGGAAACTTAACAAATTGCGGGGCAGTGACCTGTGATGGACTAGTATCCCATCCAGGGGGAGTAGAAATACTCCAAGGCTTCAATACACTTTATTCAAGATAGGAATTGCCAAAAATTCTACACGAATGTTTGGCAATCCACGAATCCACTCATACGTGGATTTTGTTTACCGTTTTTCTTGTCTTGAGATCCCTGTTCTTCCTCTGAAGTAGCCTTGTCTTGTGTTATTTTATCCAGCAAACACGCTGCTATTNGTTCTCCTCGATCACTTGTCTCCGTTTGATTTCTCCTAGTACCCCAACGTCCAAGTGAACCATATGACGTAACGCCACGTGACCTGACAAGCTGAGAAATCGCGCCAAAATACCAGCATGGCACGCGGTTGGAGAACTAATGGCGCGAGTGTCTTTCTGTGTGATGACTTCCTGTGAATCTGAGAGGGAAGCAGAGCAAAATAAACTACAGAGAAACCAAATGTGGTTATTTCATTTCCGCCTATACGTTAGCCAAGATGTTGGTCGCAAATAGGAATTTATCTTGTCGGGTTTCGTAAATGGTCGGTGCCAAACCATGTGTTAAATATATCGAGTGATTAAGTTGAAAGTGAATCATTGCAAGTGATTATAAGATTAACTTCTAAATAACCTGCGATGGACTAGCATCCCGTCCAGGTGGAGTAGAAATACTCCAAGGCTTCAATACACTTTATTCAAGATAGGAATTTTCAAACATTCTACACGAGTCATACGTGGATTTTGTTTACCGTTTTCCTTGTTTTGAGATCCCTGTTCTTCCTCTGAAGTAGCCTTGTCTTGTGTTATTTTATCCAGCAAACACGCTGCTATTTTCTTGATGAGGTTCTCTGCTATCTTCTCAGGATGTTCAGCAAGGAAGTAGATTACATTCAATGCTTGTTCCATCATAGGGGTCCACTCGGGTTTCTCAAGCTTACGGACACCTGCAAATGTTCCCATACTTATAAAAACACACAACTTACAGAGAATTGTAAAAAATCAGTTGTACTTTCTCTATTAGAGGACACCAGGGTGAAAGCCATGTATTGGTTCTCGTCCGCATTAAATTCTAGTATTCTACGTAATTTGTTTCTAGTATATGAAGGAAGCCGAGAAGTTTCTTGTTCGGTTTTTTTGCTGTTCTTGTTTTCCTCAAGATAAAATAATTTTTCCATGCTTCTACAGATTAGCAAAGGTAATGTTTATGAGTAAAATGTACTGAGTGACACCAATATATAAATGACCAAGACAGCTGCTATAATCAAAAACTAGCCTATCAGAGCTCCGAAGAAACGATTTTAGCAATGTAAGCTTGCGAGTACATTTAAGGAATTCCTCTACGAGTTTTATTTGAAAATTGTCTCAAAATTACACGAGCCTTTAGGCGAGTGCTATTCAATGAGAAAATGACCACATGACTGAGAAATTTACGAACGCGCGCGCGCGCGCGTTAATTTGTACTGCAGTGCAAATTAACAATTACTGAAAACTTGGCCTGCTCTCAGCCAATCACAATGAAGTAATTTTCTCAGTCGTAAAATAAATTTCGATTCTGAACAACACAGAAAACCACTCTTTGCAGTCAACAAGGTACCGACCTGAAACGACTATTGCCGTGAGCCGTTCAAATATCGCGTGACTGGAAGCAAGCCTAAATGGTTCTTCAGCACTGCACCCGGGTTTCTAAATAAGAGAGAGAAAAAAAGATCAAGCCATGAATTGCGTTTAAACGCTTTACGACTTTGTAGATAACTTTATTACGACAAATGAAATGTTTTGTGACGACCAAGATCGCTCAATCCACCAAATGGTGAACTAAAATCCGTTGATTGTTGTTTTACCTTATGGGTTTTGCCAAGTTTTAACAACGCCACGCACGTGTCACGTGCTAAAAGGAAATCCTCTTCCGCTCTCGGTCCCAGGCCCGTGGAAACCAACACGTCTATGTTACTACGCACAATGTCCATCTCGGCCCTAAGACAAAGAATATTACATAGGTGAGCAGCGAATACAGCGAGCAGAAAGATTTGCTTTGGGTGACTTTAGTACGATGTTTGGCGATAAATCACATGTTTTGTTCCTCCAAGTGCTAATTAGTGTTAGTGTTAAGAATGAGTAGGAATTGGAAACTCTTGAAGCATTTCTAAACAAACGCTTGTCCACGATTCTCAAATACGTACCCTGCTAACATCCCCAAGAGAACTAATGCCAGTCTGCTCTCCTCTGGGGTGGTCAGCGGAACCTACAAAGTAACATAATGAGATTATCACTAACGCCTATGATTATTCTAGGCAGCCAGCACTATACTTAGCCTAAATTTTTTCTATCAAATATACGTTTTAATAAGATCGAGTACGTCTAAAATTTTGTCGTTCAAATAAATTGCAATGGAAACGAAATAACTCTCAAACACTTTTCAATGACTACAGTGACGATATACAAAAATAAACTGTTTCAAGACATACTTCCGTGTCCCTCTTCCCTTGTAGCCATATAGCAAACCATGGCAAACAATGTGCAAAAACTGAGTTGTGAACAAAGAAACACAACACAGTGACTCCAGCCAGTGATGGCGCCTGGACTCTGGATCTTTACCTTCATTGTAAATTTCTCCCACAGCAGCTTAATGACGGCAGTAGGGATTAGTTTTCCTTTCATCAACTCACTCATCTAAGAAAGGCAAGAACAACAATGTGGTTATTCATATAAGCCAAGGAAGCGATCGAATCAACGATCGAATCAGGACATTTTTCATACCTGCCCTTCAAAGACATCACTACACTTACCAACTCTTCTAAAGATGTGAGGTCTCCAATAGATGCTCCTTGAGTCAGAGCGATCAGGTTTTTCACAATCACCGCCGTTTTAGTTCTGTAAAACGACAGAAAAAAACTTTTTACTACTATTTAACGAGAGGCATGTTAAAATAAAAGAACCCTCCAAAAGAACCGTGTTTCTCAGTCTCGGAGTGGCGACAAAAATGCGATTGTTTACACTGTGGTAAAAGTTGAAAATCATAAACTCAGAGCTCGATGTAAAATGTGCAACGGGTAACAAGCGAGAAACTTATGATTTAGTGGTTTTGTTTATAAGAACGCAATCTTTTGACCAAGACAATTATGGCGCATACCGAGCATTTGGCGCTACTGGGTCCAAATACAACCCTTTGTACGCCTCCACCACTGCATCACGGACAGCAGTGTCACGTGACCAGATCAATACCAGCATCCTCCGCACACCAATGATGGCTGACTGCAAGCCAAACTCAGAAGCTACCACGAAGAACTCGATAGACTCATTCACATCTGAGATGGTCTTAGAGCCGAGAAGCTGGCACACTGTTGGAATGGCTTTCTCCATTTGAGTCTGGAAATGAACATAATCCTACCAACCAACAAAATACTACTTTTTAATGCCTTGATACATGACAGAGAACTTTCACTGTTAATACTTCTCTTATCTTTAACGAGTTAGCCTCCTTGTGCTATGCAGCGCGAATTAGCCTCCTTAACCTGTGCAAACGCCCTTTTGGCTCGTCACAAGTGCAAACGTGAAAATGGCCTGGTCTCAGACGTGCGCAAAAATGAACGGAGAAAAATACAAAAGGCGAGTTTGTCTGAAGACATTGAGCACTATTCTCTGTTTAAACTACAAACATGGACAAATTGTGTTGGAAAATGCGCAAAAAACATGAAATCACGAGCGTATTACCTACAGAATAAGTGTCAGCACCCCCATTCCCCCTTTCAATGTTGGAAAATGGTTAAATGCAAACTTGTGATAGATGAACGTGTTTGGTCAACATTGCTCAGGGGTGGGGAGGTGAAATGCGCCAAGAATGACGTTTTCCAACCCTTGTGACCAAGGTTTTAGATACAGAGACATGTTCAACATTGAGAGATGTTCGCACNGGCCACCTCTCTACAATGGCGGCGACTTTTCTCTCTCCCCAAAGTGGCCACTGTAGAGTGGATCGACTGTAGTGGCTTACAGTTAAAAGTGTTTGCCTGTGTAAGTTGTTCTTTTAACCCCTTTTCTCCCGAGGCCTTACCAATTCATTGCATCTGGGTGTGGACCCCAACTAACAACATTAAGAGTGACGCCAGTGTAAAAATAATTTCTTACCATTCAAGAGCAGTATCCAGATCTCCTTGAAACTCCACCGGACCATCATCTTCATCAATGATCTCGTCCTGATCTAGATGTTCTTCAATAGTGGCTTGTACCTCAGGTTTAATGGCCTCCCACAGGTCCTTGGCGTTCTCGCTTGCAGGCACAACAGGAACTACAAAAACAATTTACAATAATTCAAAGCGGTCTGGGTTGGAGCCCTGGCCGGGGTCACTGTGTTTTGTCCTTGGGCAAGATACTTCATTCTCACAGTGCCTCTCTCTACCCAGGTGTACAAATAAGTACTGGTGAATTTAATGCTGGGGGTAACCCTGCCATGGACTAGCATCTCATCGAGGTGGGAATAGAAATTCTCCTAGTCGCTTCATGCTACAGAAACCGGAGATAAGCGCGTGCCTGATGGGTCACTGGGCTCGTATGCAGACTTTACCTCACTTTACTGTAGAGAAAAAGTTACCGCAAAACGAAACCAAATATCTCAGGGTAGTTGTATTCAAGAGTTAGTTATTGTCTCCTTAGTTGATCTAATCATGTGCAACGCAAAGAACGGGAAAAACGTCGAGTACGGAGTAACAAATCTCTTGTGACACTTAAGCGTGTAGTATCGCTGTTCAGTTTTCGCTGGTCATTTGTATTTTGACTCGCCCTAACAGCTCTACAAAATAAGACAAGATGCGCAACATTCTCGTCCCCAGAGACCGCGCTGCTTTTGGTCGGCACCAAGAATCGCGAGCATGAGCATGTACAGAGTATTCGTCTTGTATTCTCAACCAATCAGATTTGACATCGCGGACTTTCAATGTTAGACACGCCCAGAAGTCGCGAGTCTTTGAACTGACCAAAAGAGTTTCGGCCTTTGTAGGTGAGAATGGACTCGCAATCTGATGTACTGCGATACTAGACACTAAAATGCCTAATAAAATGTATCCATGTGGTACAGTACCGTATGGTTCTAACTGTGAATAAAACTCTAGGTTGAGACCATTCAAATGACAGCTATCGACAAGCACTTTGATGTGGTATTGTCTACTATCCTGAGCAATACGGCTCTGACTGTTACGCCTATAAATTAAGGGAGCTCAGTCATGGTATTTTGAGCTATTTTGACCGGATACAAAATAATCTTTAAATTGAAGGAAACCTGAAAATAGTAGTTAACAAATATAGAAAACACCAAAGAGATAATAATAAATCATAAAGGAAACAAGGATGGTTAAGGATGGAGAAGATTAACACGGATTACAAACGACGAACTTGAAACTTTACGGTAAACTTTTCAAGACGCGCGAACGATGACGTAGCTCCTTTAAATTCCAGTCTGTGACCATTCAAATAAAAGCTATCGAGCAGTACTTTCAAACACTTGCTAAGAGTGCGCAATGTACCTTGTCCATCTTGATTCTCACTCAGATGTGGAGCCATCTCTTTTAGTTTTTCAGTCTCCTTGGCGAGATTTTGCAGCAAATGATCCAGTGGTAGCTGTAGAAAGAAAAATTGCAATATGATGAGATTTTTTCTGCTCTTACTTTTTTGCATTTTTAACCCCAACTTTTGTTGTGTGGGAAGCACGGTGGCCTCATGGTTAGTTCCCTCGTCTCCGGATCGAGCGGTCCGGGTTCGAGCCCTGGCCGGAGACATTGTGCTATGTTCTTGGGCAAGACACTTTACTCTCACAGTGCCTCTCTTCACCCAGGTGTATAAATGGTACCGGCGAATTTAATGCTGGGGGGTAACCCTGCGGTGGACTAGCATCCCATCCAAGGGGGAGTAGAAATACTCCAGGTCGCTTCATGCTATTGAAACCGGGATAAGCTCCGGCCTGATGGGCCACTTAGCTTGTATGCAGACTTTAGCCTCTGTTGACAAGGGAAAGGTTTCCTGTCAATAATAATATTATTATCTCTTGGAAGGAACCAGCATTTTGGCATGAACTGACCTGTGCTCCAAATGGATTACAAATCAGACACGTCTTCAACAGCTGGATGGCATTTTTGCGTACAATACTGGATTTATCTTGAAGACGACTTATTGCCAGCTCTAGGAGATGTGACTGACGAGAGAGAGGAACGGCCTGAAGAATATAATCATTATTAGAAAGCAGTGTAAATATTCGTAGGTAGTTTACTTTATTTACATTTATGTGTGCTTTAGGCGCCCGAGTATCGGTCGACAGTACACACTCTCCGCCAGTGTCAGTTGACATATCGGCCGATACTTGATCGACATGTCAATTAACACTCTGCCGACATGTCAAGTCTCGATCGTGAAGTGCTTCAGCTGGGTAGACCGTCCGTGGCCTCCGTCGGTCGGCACTTGGTTGGTATGCTGGTTGACACTTGGCCAAATCCTTGACCGTTATTTTACAATCAACGGTTGGCAGCTCATATCGGTCGACAAGCCCTGGTATATCGGTTGCATATCGGTTTTTACCTTTTGTTTGCAAAGTTCAAGCCAAATTTGAAGGGCTTTGCTTCTCACATAAGCATTCACATCATGAATATGTTCCTGATGGAAAAAAAGGAGTACAATTTTTATTAACTAAAGATAAAAAGCAGTGTTGTCCTAAGGTAGCACAATAATTTTCAGCCATTATTTTACGATAATTGGCTGGCATTAATGAGTCGTACCTAAATAGCTCTCTGCATATTGTGGGTCTATATAACATTATGCTGCTAGCAAATATAATTTAGACATCAGTAGAGAGGCTGATGACAGTTAAAATCAGTAATGATAATAGTTTACAAACTGGTTAGGAATTGAGTGGTTGAGAGAAAAGTCAGTTGTTTCTTTATCGCAACACAGTGCAATGTACAGGACGCTCACCTCCATTTTGTCCAGAAGTTGGTCTCGAAGTTTCTTAGCAGCTTCGTCCAAATCTTCTTTACAAAGAACTTTGACAACAATCTCACCCATCAGACCAAGGATGCCATTCCGCATTGAATATGACTGGACAGAAATTGTAAGGTTGACAAGACAGTGAGTTTACACATTATTTTACAGAACAAAGAGGTGTCAGTGTATTTTTTCTTTGGGATGAACCAAATCAAGAACAATGATCCAAGATAACTCAGATCATAATGCTTCAAATGAACTGAATAATTCACTACTGGACATAGTTAAGAGAGGAGAATGGTTATGAAGCGCGGCAAACATCAAAGATTCCAAGATTTATTTTGGAAGGTCTACGACCGTGCGCAATCTTTTGTTCTGTGCTCATACACTATGCATGAATTACATAACCAAAACATTTCTATTGGTTAGCTCCTCAGTACGGAGTAAACTACTATTGTGTTTTGTGTGTGGTCAAGACCAAAAAAGCGAACAAAATCATACAACAAAGAAATTTGCCGGGTTTCACAATTATTATTCTCCTCTATTAACTATGCTCTGGACAAGGATTTATCTAGGTGACTTTGAGGTGCCACGATCTGTGTGCAACTTCCTCCCCAGGGCCTACTCCACTTTTCAAAATGGCAGGTGTCATCAAGGAGAAGGCCCAGGAGACAAGATTGGATTTTTGTGATCTTGGAAAATTGACAATTGCTGTACAAAATGATGCTGGATTGTGTTTCATCTCTGTTGAAGATGTTTTCCAAGTTTTACAGCAATTGACACATTTCAAAGGGTACGTACAGCATATAACAAGGACATGTGCAGCATAACTGCTGTTTGGTGGTTGTCACACCAAACTTACAGCCATGGCAGACAAGTTGCCTGGTGCTCTGCCTGGTGTAAAGAAACAATTTCAGGGCTGTCATTAAGTTTTGATTCACCTGTAGCCTTGATCTTCAGACCTGAAACAAATACTACAGCCAAGTTCACCCGTAACAACAAGGGGCCATCAAGCATGCTCAGCCATAACAGGTGCTGTGAGTTACAAACTTATTTACGGCGCTGAGTTTTTGACAGAGTAAACTCAGTATACATGTAGCACATTCATATTTTACCTCTCCATTCAAGTGACATAGCAGTACACTGATGTTTGGAATGATCTGTGTTGGAACCAGACCAGCAAGTTCTACTAAGAAGTCAGCGTATGCACGTGTTCCACTGGTGTCTCTTGCAAGGTCTCTGGGATCCATCCGACCAATCTCCCTGCAATATCACAATGGCTCTTACTTACAGAGCATACATTGTTACTCTATGTTGCCACACTATGTATTTGAACCCCATTCTAAGATAGCGTGTCCCCTTTGATAGTTTCCTGACCACTGGTCATGGAGAATGCATCCTCAGGGAATGAGATTGTTTAGCTCCTCACTACAGAGGGCCTACTGAAGCTAACATGTATGTAAATGTAAGCTTCTTTATGTTTTCTGACCTAGATGTCAATTTATAAATCACAGCTTTTTCCGCTCTGTAAAACAGCTCACAAGATTCTATAATATATTATCAAAACCATTGCATGACATTGGAGTATCACTACATTGTGCATACATACAAAGCAGCAACAGTCAAACTTCTCTTTATGGACAGTCCATTACATGGACACCTCTATAGAACAGACAGTCAACTTACATGTAGTCCCAACATAACCAGAATTCATGTTATCTGTTCCTCTATAATATGGCCACCTCTTCAAAAAGTACACTCAGGTCTGCCCCTTTGATGTGGTACGAAAGAGGCTTGACTGTACAGTCATGTAATTTATACCAACTGCTATGCCTATAGTACTAGCCTCACCTTATCACCTCAGAGACAATGCTTTTTACAGAGAACTCATCAACAAATGTCTCAACAGCCTGTGCTAGTGGTTGAACAAGATGCTCAAAGTGTTGTAGAAGCTGAACAATCTTCAAACTTACACCTAAAAACAAAAGGTACATGTATGTACAGGTAACACTGGCTTCATAAGCATTTTTTAGCATAATATGCAAGAACTACATGTATACTGGAATCTCTCAAGACATTAGCAAAATGTGGACATCGTGTGATACTCAATTTTAATCTTCATCACAGCTGGTTAAGCCTGTGTTACAGGTGCCCTCTCCAACCTCCCCAAAGAAGAGAGCAGCTGAGTGTTGCCGTTGATAATTGTGTTCCTTGCATGAATAATTATACATGCATTAAAAACCATTTCAATCAGGGTCACAACATCTGATATGATATGCAGGGGGACAACAAAGGAACTTGTTCTCTTGACAGATCACTCACAGAATAATTTCGTCCACCACAAAATGCTGATTGCCTGGGTTAATCTAATTTTTAAAGTTCAAAATTCAAACTCTAATCTCACTCCCATAGTGTGACAAATTTTCATTGTGCCTCTATGTAACACAGGCTAATAGATGGTCTCTTTTATTACCTCATGCTTTCTACAGACACCTTGTTTACACAGGCCTGAAAACAGGCAGTAAAATGACAACACAGTGATGGAAATGTTACTTAATGACCAACAAAAAAGCGCTCTCACCTAAACCATAGTTGTATTTCTTAACCATCACTCCCATAAGGTTGAAAACCAGATCTTTGGTCGTTCCATTCTTTACAGATGCCGGATTTTCAAGGAACTTGTAACAGCAACCTGTGATTAAACTAAAACAGACAGTGAGATCCAGTAAGAATCTACCTGCATTTATGACAATGTATATTTTTTTTGACTGCTGAAAAGCTCTCACAAGAGAAAAAAAAAAAAACATGATAGAATACAAATTTTCAAAAAACGTATCAAAATTCTCTGGGTGGAAATACTTTGTACATGTAACTATGGTTGGATTTCTGCAATATTTTTTCAAGCATACTTGACAAATTCTTCCTCCACAATAGGTGGATCCCACAGTCTGTTCACATCCAACTGCATGAGCTGACCAAGAGTCTGAATCAGTGCATCACGCTGCTCATCCCACTCCCATGCACTTGAACTCTTTTTCTTTGAATTAGCTGACTTGCCTCTTCTCTAGAAAAGGATAAGAATAATATTAGGTTAACTAGTTATGGTTTAATTGACCAACTTGCTGATGAATACTAAGACTAAGGAATAGGGACAGTCAATTTGGGACAGTCAGTCTGTCAGTCTGACAGTCAGTCTGACAGTCAGTCAGTCAGTCAGATGAGTCAGTCAGTCAGTCAGATCAGTCTGTCTGTCAGTCAGTCATGTAATCCAACATATACAAATGGACATGAAGAAGCAATGAGAAATTCCTGCACTGTTCAAAAGTAATAATTTGTGATAATGTTCATTCTTCTAAATGTGATTACTGTACCTTTCCAGAAATAATTACTTCAGTTGAAGGCTTGGTAGCCTCTACTTCAAATGCGTCTGCAAGCTGTGTCAAGAGATAACACAACATCTACAAAAAAAAAAAAACAAAAAAAAAATATATATATATATATATATCAGTGCTGAAACATCGATAAACAACAACCTGAACTCTCAAAGGAAACAGAAATAGCTCAAGATGGTAGTGGTTTGAGACAACCCACAATAAATGACTAAAAAAGTAAGTCCAAGGGAAAATTATATCAGTCGAGAAAGCAGCAGGTTCAAAGTTTGAAGTATGTATAGCGAGGTTCAGCTGTATCATTATACATGTATGCAATTGCTGAAATGATTGAACCACCTTGAGAGTATTGAGATGTGTCCGTCTAACTTGAAAGTCAATGTCTCCATCTTCTAGTATTTCAGGAAGAACATTTGTGAACTGGCAAAGTACTGAAAGAAAAGCAAACCATAACAAACATTAAATTTGTTCCGACACTGTTAGTTCGCAGTTAAAACATTCTGTACACGTATCATGAAAGTTTGAAAGAAACCAGTTTAGGATCTTGCAAATTCTACCTAACTGCAGTGTATAAACTTTAAAAAATACGCCAGGTACATGTACATGTAAGCCTAAGATGTGGGCGTTAAAAATAATTTTCTTACATTACTCTTGGCACGTATTTACCCATGTAAATTAATATTTCAATGGGGCAATAATTGTTAAAAAAATATTTAGTACCTTGGAGCAAATTATCCCAGGTACCCTCTCTAAGAGAACTGTCAACTTCATTAAAATGTCTGCAAACAAAAATGAACAAGTGCATTTAAATTTAAAATTTAATTTAAATTTAACAGCAAAACAATATTCAAACATAAGCTCTCCAAATGTAAACAAAACATGCATTTAATACATGAAAAACATATAAATTATAGGTACTCTAGCTACTAAGGAGGTCTGTGGACTAACGGTTAGTGTGTTCGTCTCCAAATTGAGCAGTCCAGGTTTGAGCCCTGGCTGGAAAATTGTGTTGTGCTCTTGATGGGTACCGGCAGACTTAATGGGGGTAGCCCTGTGAAGGACTAGCATCCTATCCAGAGGGGAGAAGAAACTCTCCTGGTTGCTTCATGCTACAGCAACTTAACATTCAAAACTTGGTGTCCACCAGCCTGGTTTTAAGCTCTCAGGGTTGTCACAAGGTTTTGAAGTAGAAGGCTTGATGATGATTGTTGGAGTAGGTAGCTGTATTTGTCATCTTTTTAACTTTTTTTTGAAAGAATCAGACAAATAACTTGGCGGGGTAACTAACCCTAACCCTAACCCAAGATTACAGATGGTATTTTTGTGACTTTTACCAGCAGCCAGTTACCCTTGACAACCCTGAGCAGTTTTGTGGCTGCCAGAGATCACTGCCAGTCGAGTTCTTGGGCAATACACATTGCATTCACAAGTGTCTCTCTCACAAATGGAGTATAAATGGTCTACCGCTAAATAGATACTTCAGTAACAACCTTCAAGGGTAAGCTTACAAAGTGAAGGGGCGACAGGACCTAGGCCTGGCTTGTAAGGGGTGGCAAATGGTACATTCAAGATTTTGCATCATGTCATGACTAAAAGTGTATTTCCCGAAATCTTGAGACGTTCTTGGCCTTGTGAAAGAAATCCATACTCTTACTAGGCTTTGCAAACAAGTTAGAGAAATTGAATTGTGAGAGACACATATTTTTTTGAAGAGCCATTCAATGCTTTATTTTGTGGAATTCTTCAGCGGAGTTTAGGAGAAGCTGTCCGCCACCCTTAAGCACAAATTCTGCCCAAAAGTTGTTTTAATTAATATTGCATGGTAACTTAATTAATTATACATGTACGGGTGAGGTCTAGTAAAGGAGGGTGGTCGTATGAGGCAGTGTGTCAAACTCAAAGAACCAACATGAACCTGAGCAGTGCCTTTTTAGAACAACCTGACAGAGGTATACCAAGCAGCAATTATTTTTTCGCTTCATGTTTTATGTTGATACAGAGAAGGAGCAAAACAAGAAACACGTACATGTATGTAAAATAAAATAACACATTTGATGGAATTCCTCAGGGTTCAGCCATGAAGGGTTTGGATAAATCGAAATGTAATAACCTTTTTAACACAAACTACTAAGGGGCAAGATTATGCTTAAGAAAAGATGTTAAAAATGGCCGTACGAGGCATCAACTTAAGAAAAACTAATCTCACCTTAAAAGACTGAAAAAACAGTCAAAGTTCTCGACAACAGCAGTCGGTCCGGCAGATCGAAGATCAGCTAAGCAGTCTGAAAGTATAGTTAAGATTGATAAGCAAATATCAGATCTATCCTGAAACTACAACGATGAAGATTATATTCAGCTTACCACGAAGTTTGTTTGGAAGAACACGCACTGAAAGTACTTCGTCTACAACATACGATCCTGCCTCGCCGCTTAATAAGTCGTCCCTGGACAACGGTATTACGAAGCCTACATCCATAGATTACACTTTTCTCGGTTAAAATGTATTCAAAGGTTAGATGAAATCAGAAAAAGGTATGATAATAAACTTTTCATTCCAAACATTCGGTAAAAATGGCCGCCTTTTTTTCGAACGGAAAAGCGAGCCAATAAAAAGCTTGGGTCCCAGTCTCCACTCTCCCGATGCTCGTTGCGGGTAAAAGACCCTAGGGACCAGGTTGGTTGCTACCAGTTCCCATTTTTTTCCAAAAAATCGTGGCCGATTTATAGTAATTTTATTTCTTCAAATCAGATACCATCAATCTCTTTAAGTCTTATTTTGCTTAAGGACAAACACAAAGAAACGAGGACAATAACAGTTTTTAGTTTAAAAGTTGTCAAAAGAAACTGCTCTGTTTCGTCGGCAGCAAGAGGGACTCCTGGTCGGCAGGTTAAGTGAAACACGCTGCAGATATTACATGTATCAAATTTATGGTAAACAAAGTTCTCTGTCGTTGCCGCCATTGGGAGTGCACACGTCAACAATTAGCTTTTAAAAGAAAACAAATAAAACGTCATTTGCGCGCGCAGTTTTCTCTGATTAAAAGCCACTAAAGGCAATGAAAACGCCACAAACTATGCCAAGGGTTTATTCATTGTCGGAATTTTATGGTAAAGTTGTAAGTATTTTCGTTAAAATGTAGCGGATGGTGATGAGCGAAAATCACTGTTTTGTTTGTTTGTTATTTGTTTCGCTTATTTCTTTGTTTTCTCTATTTTATTTGCAATTTGAAAAAAGTACTACTTACGTTTTCAGGCGATGTCGTTCTCGTGTACCGGTAGTGACTGTTTAGACCGGCAAATGCCTACTGCGTTAGGTTGGGTATGATCAAAGCAAACCTCAAGGTTTCGGGTGAATGTCCGCATGATTGCTTATGCCCCCAATACATGCATAATTAAACTCACTGTAAACGTAAAAGGAACCTTGAATACAACGGTCAAGAATCGTGCCCATCAAACATTTATCGAGAAGTTTATTTGTCAAATCAGCAACGTACACAAACTTATTGAATTTATGACTAACATAGTTTAGATATTCTATGGTTTACTCTGAGGGATCCTTTTAAAGCTTTTCAACACTGATGTATGCAAATTTCAAAAAGGTTTTCGTTTTCTTCTGATTGCTAGCTGATGATTCTATGATCATTAAAAATTAATTTAAATATGATCACATAATGTAAAGCTATACATGAAAAATTCACAAATTTGCGGACAAAAAAAAGTACTTACTCAGATAAGAAGCTCAGCGATATTTTGGGAAATATATAATTCTTGTTTAGGTTTCCGTTCTGATGAATTTGAACTGGCGGGAAACTTCCCGCCCTAAATTTGCATTAATCAAAACCCTATGACAAAGAAAATTTGAATTTTGAATAACCGACTGTAAAACTAGTTGAAAGGAAGCTGACAGCATCAAGCTAAAGTGTTTTCAACAGAGTGGCCGAAAGACTCCTTTGACAATAATTTATGGCAGTTTAATTGCTTGGCTATTTTTTTTTTTTTACAGTTTGTACATCAACGAAGACAGCTGAATATGACACAGATGTTACCATTTGAGTGGCAAGACTTGTGAGGCGGCAATAACACCAAGAACTTTGATAATTGAAGGCGAACACTGACCCAAGATGGAGCGGTTTTCGAAAATTTTAAGCAGGAAGAAACTCATAAATACAAGTGTCATACATAAAACAGAGTTATCTCGCTGCTTGACCAAGTTTGATTTAACCTCTCTCGGAGTCGCGACGACTCTCGGAGCAGGGATTTATGTTTTAACTGGAACATTAGCGCGAAATGTAGCAGGACCAGGGCTGGTGTTATCCTTCTTCGTCGCAGCAGTGGCAAGCATACTGGCTGGTTTGTGTTACGCCGAGTTTGCATCGCGTGTTCCCAGAGTCGGCTCCGCGTACACTTTCAGTTATGTCACCATAGGTGAATTCTGCGCGTTCGTGATCGGCTGGAATTTGCTTCTTGAATACATAATAGCGACCTCTTCAGTGGCTCGAGCGTGGAGTTCGTATCTTGATGCTTCGTTGCTAAACGACATTATAAGAAATACAACCACAATGGGAATTGGAAAACTTAGCGCGTCGGGAATCATTGCACATTATCCGGACTTTCTGGCGTTTCTTCTCATATTAGTCGTAACAGTGACTTTGTGCTTCGGAGCGAAGCTAACCTCAGTGACAACAAATGTCATAACAGCCATAAATATTGTTGTCATAGTATTAATTATAATACTTGGAGCCTCTTTTGCCGAGGAAAAGAACTGGACGGATGATTTTTTACCGTTTGGTTTCTCCGGAGTACTGGCTGCTTCGGCGTCAGCTTTTTACGCCTTTGTTGGATTCGATGTGATCGCAACCGCTGTGGAAGAGTCAAATAATCCTTCGAAGGATGTGCCTGTGGCAACTATACTCACTATTGGTAAGGAAATATTATACATTTGTCGTTTGTACCGAAGAGAAGAAAGTCAATACCTTAAGAGAAGGGCTGTTCATTCGGCCATCGGTTAAAAATTTATGACATCTATAAATTGAAATAACTTTTAGCAATTTTAAATTAATGTACAGTAGGCGATAGTTTCACATGTGCCCCTTAAAGTCATAAAATATAAATAAGAAAAGAATTAAGCCCACCCCTTCTCCTGTAAAAAAGCCACTGACTGATTAAAATTGTAAAGCAAGAGACGGAGAGCAGTTTATAGCCTGTGACGGAAAGCAGTTTATAACCTCTGAATACAGAAAAAAAAAATGAAACTGCACGGTTTAACTTGTGGAAATAAACGAAAGAAAACTTGAAATATGTAATGTGTACCCGGGCAGTCACCGATAAAATACGGTATCACCGCCTAACCAGCGATATCTAGAGATGTTTAGCACTGATTCACCTCGGCCTGAGTACGGCTTGGCCCTGGTTCATTATAGACATAACATGATTGTCAAATGTGATAACGATCTTGGACTACCCTTTTTCTCTTAACTGGCTCGAAAAACCGAAAAAAATAGAAACATGTCATTGTATAGGTCAGTTAGGGATGGCATATCATAATAACTTGGTCAGTTTGCAACCTTGTATAATATTATGGTTCAATTTTGTTTTTCTTATTAAATTTCGTTTATTTGGACCTTGAGGCTAAAATAGTAAACAATTGTCCACTCCATGAGGGTACAAAATAACAAAAATCAATACTAAATTACCAAGAGGATGGAGTTGATGGGGCCGACTTTCGCCAATACACTGTACCAAGTTGGGAGCTGCTTGATCTTATATAATCCGTGATATAGGAGGACTGGCTCGGTTTGCATGTCTTTTTATACCTTTACCAGTTAAACGCTCTTAGTCTTCCTCAATCTCTACAATTTGTGAGCCTAAAACAAGCTAGGTTAAAAATAGTCACTTTGCAGCTGTATCGGCACAGCCGGTTTAATATGTCCTAAGCTAAGTAAAAGCTACAGTAGACCGTTCCCTTTGTCGTTTAAGCTTTCAAAATTTCCATTTAATTTAGTAGTTACGGAGTACTCTTTCAAAAAGAGCGAACACTACTATTCACCTTGATTAGCTGTGCTTCCCCAATCAGATGGCAGGCCGAACATCATATGGATCCATGCGCCTGTGCTTACCTCAGTTCATATTAACCGGTCTTAGGGATTTGCTTTCTGTTCAACTCACATCTGATTGTTGTCTCCCCGCGAAGCGAGAAAGCGCAAAAAGGGAATGCTTCATTTTCGTCCGCGCGCTTTCTCCCTCTCGCGCTTTCTTTAATTACGTGTCACGCGCGACGGTCTGACAGGAAAGAGGAGCAACTCTAGACGCACTGATAAACATTCTACAGACAATTTTCTGTCTGCGCCTTGTTTGATTCATAATGCGGAAATTCGCTATCGTGGCGGGAGGGACAACAAGAGTTATTCGTATTTCGTGTTCATCCTGGATAAAATTGAAACAAAAAAATCTATTTGTAGACAATCAGCCGGCTGTTCTCATGGTGAACGTCGCGATCGTCTAATCTTCTTTGACGTCATCAAGATGAGCGACAGATATGTGGGCACTTATTTTTTTTTTTATTGTGGCTGCGGTCAATATATTCATTTTTCTTAAAATTTATCCTAAAAATTTATGCTATAATTTCGAGAAATTAAATAAAAGCCAAAAAAGTTCGCTTTCAAATTTCCCACAAACCAACGCAGGCTCTAAATGAACTTGGAACGAGTCGACGAAACTGAATGAAACTGTTTATCAACGCGGACATGACACGACCGATATTTCAGTTTCGAGAACTGCCGGATAATTTCAAGAAAACAAGCGGAATATTTAAAAAGCTAACGAGTTCATCGGCGTACAGAACATCAGCAGCGAGAACAAGGAAAAACTTCGCATGGAAGCCGTGATGTCCACGAGTCAGTTAGGGTTGGCCGTCTAGTCAGTGCTGTTCATTTCCTAAAGAACGCCGACGCGAAGGATTTTCTTGAAAAACAATAAAAACAGGTTAATTCATGGTTCAAGGCATTGCGCATCCGAAGATGGCCTACCTGGTGAGGCGATTCACCCAAAAGAAACTCATCGATTCGAAATCGCTGTCACGAAGCGAATTGTCTCGCTGTTTGTCGATTTTCGACTTGACCGCTCTGGGGATTGGAAGTACTCTCGGGGCTGGAATTTACGTTTTAGCAGGAGAAGTGGCTCGCTCGATCGCCGGACCAAGCATTGTAATTTCGTTTTTCATAGCCGCCGTCGCCTCGATTCTCTCGGGACTCTGCTACGCTGAATTTGGCGCTCGGGTCCCAAAAGCTGGTTCGGCCTATGTCTACAGCTATGTTACTGTGGGCGAACTGTGTGCTTTTGTGATCGGATGGAACCTATTTCTAGAATACGTCATTGGCGCGTCGTCCGTAGCTCGAGCTTGGAGTGAATATTTTGATTCTGTTCTCAACAGCAGAATTCGTAACTACACACTGACGAACATTGGCGAGATGCATGTCTCGGGACTTTCACGTTATCCAGATTTCTTCGCCTTCCTCCTCGTGTTGTTGGTAACTTTCATCCTTGGGATAGGAGTGAAAAATTCTTCTAGATTCAACAATATATTTACCGGCATAAATTTACTTGTGATTCTGTTTATAACCTGTGTCGGGTTGTACTTCGCAAAGGGCGAGAATTGGACGCGGGATTTTGCGCCGTTTGGGATATCTGGGATTTTCTCGGGTGCCGCCACTTGCTTTTACGCTTTTGTTGGCTTTGATGTAATTGCTACTACCGGCGAGGAAGCTAGAAATCCAAGCAGAGCCATACCTGTATCAATAGTTCTGGCCTTAGGTAAGATGTAGTCATTTATATTACGACCCAAATTTGTTTTGCACATAGACCAATTTTAGCCAAATCAACAATGTCTGAATTAAAATTCGCCACTTTGACACGTGGGAAAATCTATGCAACGATTGATATTTTTCGGTTCTTCATTTTATTTGTTTCTCTTTCGGTGAGTAAATATTTCTCAAGGACGTGGATATTGGCGATAATTTACGCTATTCAACAACAATTAAGTACGCCCTGGCCAGCCACGCGGTTTCCATTTGTTGCTCAATTACCGTAGGAAATTTTCCATCTAAATAATACATTAGTCGGAACCATAAACCAAATCTCTAAAGTGCTTTTTGATCGGCATGAATCATCTGGGCTTGGTTTATCCTGATGAATCGTGCGTTCCTCGTTAAACTGATTTTACCAGCCGTTGAGCTGGACACCTGTGTCCACCAGTAGATATGATGCCAAAATGGAACCAAGTGACAATTTATATTAATTGACTGTTTCGAAGAGATCAATGTAAATCGACATTTTTTTAGAACGTTTGTCTCCATCTTGATCGAGCAATTGGTCTTTCTATCGCTTATATATTTTCCACTTTCAGCCCATCTTCTTTTAATTAGCTTTTGTTTTGATGCAGCTTTATCACTTGGTATAGGTGGCCATTCTAGGTTTATCTTTCCGATGAAATTATCAAGCAATTCCGATCAGGCTTTAAAACATATCATCACTGAACGAATTTTACAGAAGCTATGAAAACGTTTTCTGGCACTAATATTACCTTTTTGTTTTTCCGAGATTTAGCAGAAAGTGGCCTATAATGGCCGAACAAAAGATGAATGAAAAAGTTGTGAAGGTTACTTATACACAATAGAAAACAAACTAAGGTTAAACTGACCGTAAATACAGCGATCAGATAAAGCTATTATAAGGAGAAACGAGGAAATAGGACAAATATGTTGGCTAGGGAGAGAAATGTAGATTGTCCTGGAACAGGTTGAGAGCTAATTTGCATGTGCTGGTGCAGTCAACTTGCCACCCAGCGTTCCATTCTATAATTCCAAAATCGTTTATATGTTCGATAGTGAAATTCATAGATTTGTGTTACTGGGATCAGCCGTTATTACCCAGATATTGGCACCTTCTGTATATCCTGGTTATTTCATATTGCTGCATGTATTATATTGCATGTTCCTGTTTTTAATACATATGTTTCATAATCAATAGAAATAAGCAAAACACGTATCAGATGCGTGGCACCATGACGATAAACTACACGTATGTAAGACTAAACAAGCTCTTGAAAGTGACAAATGGTTAACGGTGAACTTAATGTCGAGATTCTAGTTTAGGTTAATAATTTGACACTTTTAAAAACTTTTTGCTCCTTATGTTTAGTTCATATGTTTCATGATAGCCTAAGAACACATGTAACAGTTTCATAAATGTATATTATAAATACACATTATAAATTTCCCGCAATTCCGGTCTAATAAACCGTTGGAAATTTGGGAATGGAAAAAATATCGATTAAGTATCCCGCAAAATTATAGCAAATGAAAGAATTAAAATGCAAGGAGTAGAGATAGAAATCAACATTGCAAGCTTGCCAACAACAGTGTCTGCGACGGTGAAAATCTACGGTCTTTAATTCCTTGAGACGTGTTTTTCCGCTTTTTGACTTGCTGATTTGCCTGCCGTTTCATCATCTTTCTTTAAAAGCGAGGGTTTACAGCTGTCATTACACTAATGATCTACCAGTGAGCCGTATAAGCCGCTACAATAAACCTTTTGTATATCTCTAATTATTGTAATCATTTAGGCCTAGTTACGTTTGATCCTACATGTACATAACACTTACTAATCATGACAGTTCACTCGGGATGTAATTTTGCCGCTTTTTAGCAGTTTGAAGCAACAAACCGAAACTAATCCAGCTGCTTTCACAAACTAACTTATGTATTAGCCTTTGTCAGCTACTAAAACAGCCCATTTCGGTGAATTCTCCACGTGTTCACTTGCCTCACCATGCTCATCTGTTTTCGTTAGAAACCGTTAAAAATGTCAAACAGTCCAAAATTACCACCTTTCCTAGGAGACCGCCACCTCTCAGTAGGGTATCAAGTCAAATTCTATTCTGATTCCTAAATGTCTGTTAGACGCAATAATCCCTGGCTAAAGTATACTTTAATACCGCTTTCTGTTTACAGTAAAATGTTATACTCGCAAAAAATGAAAGGAGCTCGATGTAAACGAGCGTTTCTTGTTTCTTTTAAAGGTATTTGTTTCGTGGCATATTTTGGAGTGTCCGCTGTGTTGACTTTGATGTGGCCATATTACAAGCTATCTGAACGAAGCGCCCTTCCTGAGGTCTTTGCGATGAGAGGAGCCGAGTGGGCCAAATATATCATTGCTGTCGGAGCCCTCTGTGGATTAAGCGCCTCTTTGATTGGAGCCTTGTTCCCTTTACCCAGAATGCTGTACGCCATGGCAAGCGATGGCCTCATTTTCAAGTAAGCGAAAGCGAGAAGTTCTTTAACACTTGATGAATCTCCGAAAATGAAATTATTTATATTTTGATTTTTTTCTTATGGGGTTCACTCCACAAAGTAGAATTTTAAAACTCTCACTGTAAGTCGCTATAATTATAAAGGCAGCTGTTAGGTGTTCAAAAAAATCAATCTTGAACAAAATCTTTTCAGTAACATAATCAGATGAGCTCTAACTTCTAAATACATTTTCCTATGTTTTACTTTTACGTGGAAAAACTGAGTAGTCGAAATTTTGTGAGCTAGAATTAAAGTCCTTTATACAGTATCTAACTTGCCCTGTTCCAACTACTTATGTCTCAATCAATTCAAATGGCATAACGCTGCGAAGAAACCTTTTCTTTCATAAATGTCCCTGTTCATGGAAGCATTACACTCGTTGATCATACACATTCCAAATTTTTCTTTAGATTTCTAGCCAAAGTGCATCCCAAGACAGAGATTCCAGTTATCGCTACGGTCCTCTCTGGGGCCCTAGCTGCGTTTCTCGCTCTTGTATTCGACCTTCAAGCGTTGGTAGAAATGATGTCCATTGGTACTCTGCTAGCCTACACAATAGTGGCCCTGTGCGTGTTGCTGCTGCGTTACCAGCCTGGCAGCATAGGCATTGTAAAAGGAGAGGAAAATATCTTCTCAAGCAACGACGAAAACGTGGAAGGAGAGGCAGCGATGGAACACACTAGACTGACAGCAGAAAATAATGGCCCCACTCTTCAAACAGCTCGGCTCGCAGCCATAGGAATCTATTGCAACGTTGCCATCTACTTCTTCATTAGTACCCTTCTCATCTGGGGCGGTGAAGCCATCTTGAAGGGACGAGCATGGGCCATTTTCATGGCGTGTCTGTTAGGGATTTTTCTGGTAACGTTTGTAGTGCTCCTTGTGCGTCAGCCCCAGAACAAGACGCCCATTCCATTTAAAGTGCCCTGTGTTCCAGCCATACCATTGTTCTCGATATTCGTCAATATATTTCTTATCATGAAGCTAAATTACTTGACGTGGCTTCGGTTTGCTGTCTGGATGGCTATAGGTGAGTACTACGGTAGATAAACGTAGAAGAGGTTTTCGATGGCTTTGTTTATAGCTGGCCCAGGCTAGAAATGTTGGCTAAAAGACGAAGCCTTCCATTACTTTTCAGTAAAAAATTGAATAATTTCAACAGCGATAGCCACTTTTGTAGAGTAGAATCAATAATAATATTTCAACATTAATTTTAATAATGTATGCAACCACTGATAGTCTGTTAAAACGGTTAATTTTGGGAAGTTGACACATCTACTCCTGAACGTAGCATTTATTCAATTTATCTATTATATTTTCCTGGTTCTCTACTTATGTTTCTACGCGGTGTTCACCTGTTTTTGGGTAGTTGTTTTTATTCGTAGCAACTTCCCAGTTTTAAGATAAAAGTCACATCTTGGACGAGAGCAAGCCAAACTTTTCATTTTTTTTTCTCTCGAGAACTTAGGAAAGGCTAGAGGTGGGAACTCCGGGAGGCAGAAAAAAATGAATTTATGGTCACAGGTTGAAAATTGCTAATATGTTGTTGGCGATGAAGCTGTTTCAGAGTCCAGATTCAGTGCTGAAAACATTTGTTGTTACACTTCAAACCATAACTTCCAGTTGTTTTTGTGTTGAATGGAAGATACGTTGGTGGAGGTAGTTTATCAAGAACTCGTGACTTTTTGATAGCTAAGAACCTTAGGGCTTTATAAAAGCACGTTGCCGAGGAATCATGGCCGTTAGTTACGTCATTTTCTTAAATCAGTTTGCTGATTTTGCAATTTTCACTCAAACAAAGAACAAGCTACCGCCTGTTGGTAATTGACTTTGATTAGCCAAGCAATGTATTAAAGCCAACTTAAAGATGTCATCAAAGTTAAAAAAACTTTTGAAGTCTAAACGATACAGTGTTTCCAAAAAAAATTGGTTAGATGCCACGAAGTATGTGGCAAAGCCTTAACCATGTGTTGTAGGTTGAAAGTCCGAAGACTTTTCTCGTCCTTATCGAGGGAGATGCTAACCTTCTCTCGGCTCATACAACACGACATCAAACTTGAACTTTATTTTTCATATATATGACAGAGCTTGTTTCACTTTACACTTGTGGTACAATATTTTCAATCTAGCTCTATTGCGTTCTTGTTTCCGGATAGTTTTAACCAAATATGCTATGCTAGCTATTATGTGTCAAGTTTGCGATAAAAATTTTGATCGTTTGATTTGTAACTTTCGATTCCGTCGTAAATGTCTGCGCCCATCGACTGCGCATGCGCAATAAACCACGCGCTGCTTTTTTGAAGAAAAAGAGAGGGACAAACGTTTTACAATTAATCGTTTAATCGTCTAGTATCGCTGTTCTAGAAACAATACTAGTTAGCCGAGCTGTAAATTATATCAAGTGAAATAAAATCAGACACCAAAGAATATAGCAACCAGACTGACGATTAGCTTAAATTTTTTATCAACAAAAGTTCTTAAGGAAACTTTCTTTGTTTTTTACTGTTACTATTATTAGTTTTTTTTCAAATCTCGGACCAGAACTTCCAAGGCATTATATTTCTCTCGCAGGTTGATAGCCATTTTTGTCAACAGCACTAGAACTTGTAAAACCTTGCGTAGTTGTCTTTTACCTGCAACGGCACCTGTTGAAACCAGTGTAGCGATTTCTGCCGACTATAAGATGATGTCGAATTCTCTTATTGAAATGTAACTTCTCCTAGAATCATTGTTTCAAGCCAAGCGGGCAGGCGACAAGATGACCTGTAGCTCTGAAAGGGTGTTATGATCTAGACATAAATTCTTATAACTAACTGTCACTGTCAATGCGTGAAAATAGTTTAGAGGAACTTATCGACAGATGTGGAATATTTAAAGAGGTCACCGATGAGCCTGAAGCATCTTGTAATCATAAAGGCATCTTTTGGCCGTCAGCACTGAAATTACCGATTGGATCTGACAAATAACAAGATTCGCCGCTTTTAACATGGCTCTCTGGTTTCCGAGAACAAAATTACAACCATCCTCAAGCCTTCAGAAATTTACGGTAGCTCGTTAATGTTGCCTAGTGTCATCTGCCGAACGTTAGCTTCATTTTATTGTTTATGAGAAATGGGCTGTCTTCGGCAATTCTCTCGACGAAAATGCATCTCCATCCAGAGTTTAGTTGAGACTAAATTATCCCGGTGTCTTTCACTCCTCGATTTAACAGCCCTCGGAGTCGGTTGTACCCTTGGCGCCGGCGTCTATGTGATCGCTTGTGAAATCGCTCGCGATGTGGCAGGCCCAGCAACAGTTATCTCATTTCTAATCGCTGGTATTGCCTCAGTCTTGTCCGGACTTTGCTACGCTGAATTTGGAGCCCGAGTCCCAAAAGCTGGATCAGCCTACATCTATAGCTATGTGACTGTCGGCGAGCTAGTGGCGTTTATAATTGGTTGGAATCTTGTTATGGAGTACATGATCGGAGCTGCCGCCATTGGTCGAGCGTGGAGTGCTTATTTTGACTCCATGTTACACGATAAAGTTAGAGGTTGGACTCTTGAAAATATTGGACCAATACGGATTGATGGACTCGGGGGTTACCCGGACTTTTTGGCAGTGGGGATAATTCTTATTTTGATGATCATTCAACTGTTTGGTGTCAAGAAATCTACCACGTTTATTTTCGGTGTGACTTGTGTGAACATGGTTGTCATTGTGTTCATAATCATTATGGGAATTACCTTGGCCAGACCAGAATACTGGTCAGACTTCATGCCGTATGGACCTACCGGGGTTTTAGCGGGTTCCGCCACCGCATTTTTCGCTTTTGTTGGTTTTGATGTCATTGCGACTGCCGGCGAGGAAGCTAAGAACCCTAGCAGGACGATCCCACTTTCAATTTTATTTGCGCTCACAGTTTGTTTTCTGGCATATTTTGGCGTTTCAGCTGCTGTTACCTTAATCTGGCCTTATGACAAGTTGGATTATGGAGCAGCCTTACCTAAAGCTTTCGAACACCGCGGAGCGAACTTTGCAAAGTACATAATCGCGGCTGGCGCACTTTGCGGAATGACAGCGGCCATAAATGGCGGACTTTTCCCGTTGCCTCGTTTGCTTTACGCCATGGCTTCAGACGGCTTGATTTTCAAGAGTTTCGCGTACGTGAGCAAAAGAACCGAGGTACCATATATTGGTACACTTTTCTCGGGTATTCTGGCAGGCATTCTAGCAATGGTCTTTGAACTGCAAGCCCTTGTGGAGATGATGTCGATAGGGACGCTTCAAGCATATACCATTGTCTCCACGTCTGTTCTAATTCTCCGGTACCAGCCTGGAACAATAGGTCTTGTCAAATACAACGAAGAGGACCCTAATTTGAGTCCCCAATCGAAGGACCCTCTACCTGAACCAACCGACCGATCCGGGACTATTTCCAGATGCACGATATGGTTCCTGTTCTTTTATTTCTTCTGTCTTAGTGCGTTTTTGATCAACGGGCTTATTCCAATGTATCAAGGCCAGGCGTGGGCTGTTATTCTAGCGACGTTTTTAGTCATAATTTTCGTAGCCGCCATTGTTGCGTTGTGTATGCAGCCAAAGAGTCTGACACCGCTGCCTTTCAAAGTTCCGCTCGTTCCTGGCCTGCCTCTCTGTTCAATGTTTATAAATATTTATTTGATGATGGAACTCAATCCGGCGACATGGATGCGTTTCGCGGTTTGGATGGCGATAGGTGTGTACTTTCTCATCGCTTCAATATAATATAGGCACGCAATACGTACATAGCATAACATAGAAATTACGAAGCCCTCCTTTGTTAAGATGCATCCTAACCATTGCTTCTTAACAGTAGTATTTTGTATTCGAACAAATACTTACGAGCGATCTTAATCTAAAAAGCCTTAATGAATCCGGTGACTGGTTGTTATGATTGTGTGAATGTCATTTGCACAGGCAACTGAAACCATGTTTATTCGGCGACTAATCAAAAACTGTGACGCATTAATAGCCTTCGTCATATATTTTTCTCGAGGATTAGCTCATCGAGCATTATCTGTGGGGCTCTGCAAAATACTGTTTTACGATAACTGCGAAAATTCTCGCGCGCTCTTTGGCTAATTTTCATTGGCAAAAAGCGGACCGACACATGAATTTATAATTTATTCGATGCGTATCCACTCGGGTATCGCCTCGTCGATCCACGGCTACTCTGACAATATTATGACGAAATTCATGATCAAAACAGGACATACGCATGAAAAACTGACGTCAATTTGTTAAACTGGTTTTCCTGTGACTTCGGACTGAATACCGGGCGCGTGTTAACCACCCTTTGTTTTATAGCGTAGATTATTATGGTAAAGACATACTTTCAGCAGCAGCAACAACAACAATTTCATTTGTACCCATCATTTTACATTTAGTTAGCTAATAGTCAGCAGGTGAAGTCATTTAATAGTAAAGTCATTTAGTCAGCAGGTGAAGTTCACCAATAGACAAAACAGTAACGCAATCTAGAGTCGTTGGTAACTTTTAAAAAAGGCTGTCACATCACGATGTACGAAGTTATTTTCTCGACTTAGCAATTGAAGGAAACCTCAAAATTAAAACTTATTAAGGTAGAAAAACAACATAGACCGGGCGTAAATAACAAATAAAAAAAGAACTTAAATGGTGGATACGATTAAAGATTAAAACGGTTTTTGATCGACTAACTTAAATGATTGAGACTGGAAATTTCTAAGTTGCAACGTAGTTTCCTTGTTGGCTTATAAATACAATATTTAAAATTGGCGAGTTTTCCCCTTTTTTTGAAGTGTCTTCTAACATCTTCTGTTATTTTATCTTACAGGCTTGTCTATTTACATTTTCTATGGCCTTCGTCACAGCGTCGAGGGCCAGCGGCAAACAGAACAAGAGGGTTACGTCCCTTTAGAACAAATCGATGGAAAAGGAGATCAAGAAAAGGGCAGCGAAACTCCAGAACCGAAGAATTAATTAAAGAAATTATAAATGTAATAGAGATTATATCTAGAGAACGTAAGTTAATTAATTGTGAGCTCCAGTGACAATATTCTAAAGACTTATTTCCGAAAAACTTATTTAACTGTTTTTCTCTGAACTGACTTTTTGAATTTTTGAACTTGATCTCTTGCACATGTTTACGTGAGACCACCGTATTTGAAAGTTGCTCGTTAAAAACATGGAAGTCGCGTAACTTTTGGCCCTCGTGCTTAAGTCTTTTGAGACCTTACCTGGAAAGGAACCAAATTAACGGCAATCACCGAGGACAACCTCAGAAGAGGTCTTCGGCGATCGTTCTTCTGAGCCCATTCAGGTCATCCTCTCTCCATGTTTGTCGGTTGACCGACATATAAAGCGTATACCGAGACACAATCTACATTCTTTTTTTAACTGATGTTCCTTGAAAGAACAGTATGATTTGCTTGCATTTAGAAAATTATAAGATGAGGGGAAGATGAACGAAAGGGAAAGAAGAACGCCTACAAAACTGAATAACGAGACTTTAAAGTGTTCCTTCCCATCATTCATAGCGTTGTGACTAAGGATATGTCAATATGAGCTAACATGACGAAACTAAACATAAACATCATGATAAACATAGGAAACATAGCCGATAAAGTAGTATACATCGTTATGTTATTATTATATTAATGTGTAGATGTTAAAAAAAGAAATAGATGTAAATTAACAGATCGTCAGTATTGACTTGAGCTCAGTCAGACCATATCACTGTGCTACACTGTTAAGTTAGTATCGAGGCTGAATAAAATACAATCACTAACTATATTCGTTCCATTTTCTTCACTTAAAATACGTGCATTGACATAACCTGCAAAGAGTCGATTTAGCATTATCCTCACAATTTAACCAATCTCTAATAAGCGCCCCGTTTGATTGTCTTCCAGCGCCACTGTATTCCAGCAAACCTTACCTTTGCTAATAAGAGCGCCCATTTCCATTCGGCGCCCGCTCCATTCCAGCTAAGCGTCCTTTCCAATAATACAACACAAATTGCATTTTCATCCCCGATTGGGCTTTTCGGTGTTAATATAACTATATAAAGGTGAAAAAACGTTTTCTTAATTTTTTGCTGTATGAATTCAATGGGTACAAACTGGAATGATCCCATTTCTTTATGACATGCTTTTAAAAGCAACGTCTACGCACACGTCTCCAGTCGCGGTGGCAGTAACTATTTGTAGGCTGCTCTCTGTAACTAAAGAGCGTTTTCGAAAAGCACCATTTTCGGTGGACAGTTTCTCAGGATTAGTGTGGACGGTAGGTCTAACCGTAGAAATAAAGATGTGTTTTTAAGTTTCTCCGGCGCAGTGTGGAGGGGGCCTTACAAGAACACATATCGCTAGGTGTTTTTAGTGTGTAATCTCTAAGTTTTCACTCTAGCAGACAGGCGGGAGGAGTTGAAATATATTTTCGACCTTATTATGTTTTGCTAAACGTGCAAATTGATGGAATGAAGTTAACGGCGTTTTTGAATAGAGCATGGCATAACAGCAGTCTGTCAGAAAGCTTTCACTGTGTTCGTTTCCAAATGCAAATAGGTTTGCTTTTTTTTAAGACTCAAAACTCCATCTAACTTCTTCAAATGAAACATCACACCAAGAAAATCCAAAACAAACGCTTGATACTACCAGAACAACCATAAGTAAAATTTAATTTTCAGTTACAATTATAGGAATGATCGCCTAGCATAATATTCCCAGTCTTTGAGACAATATTGACCCAGCATGATCTAAATCGAAGCTAATTACTTCAGGCTCCGTTACTTCTGAAATTCACTTTGTAATGAGCAATAAACAAAAGGCTATTGAAATCAATTGAAAGAAATCAGCATTACTTCAGTCAATTACGGATTTACCAACACATAAGAAAAGTAAAAGCCTCGTTTATGGGGCTTTATTTCACCCCATTTACACATTATACTAGATAATACTTTAAAGACCTCAGCTGAATGATACTTGTTATACTCATGGGGCAATTTCTTCGCAACGTTTCCTCTGCCGTTTTCAGAAATCAAATGGAGGACAGAGTATTGAAGAACAAACTCGGGTCAATTGAACTCGAGGAAAAGCGATTGCTGAGGCGGTTTCGTTCAGAGACGAGGTTATTGAAAATCAGGCAGGAACAACGATTGGGAAGTTTGACTTGTGCCAGGAGAAATGAAGTAAATGGGACACACATTGACAAAGCCGGGACTCCGAGTCCTCAATCAGCGGTTTGTAGACAATGTTTATATATATTTAACATTCTTTTTGAAGTCATACTAGAGGAAGAAGCTATAATGAACAGATAATGGGTTAAATAGGGACGTTATAAGTGCTTGAAGTGAAAGACATTGACCAAGCCATGGGATTAGTAAGTCGTCAGAAGATCGAAATGGACGTAAACAACATCTATTTTGTATTAAGATGGCGTAAATTTAGATGACTAAGAAGAATATTTAATTTGGCGACTCCGTGGTGTACGGAAGTTATAATTACATTTACGGCAGACCAAGTTGGTTTGTTGAAACCAGTTTCACTTCTGCTATGGAGGAAAATACGTCTAGTTGTTACGTTGTTTGGAAACTCTGGGTATGTTTACAACTTGTTCTAGATTAACTCTAAAACATGACCTCCAAATTTTGAGCTTAGAGTCAACTCATTTAAATTTGAGCATGAATGTGACAATTAAGGGGACAGATACATTAAAGGAATGCTTTCAGCGAGCAATATAGTCTTGTGGTACTCTGTTTTTACCAATATTTCGAAAATGAAATTCGTATTTTTTTAATTTCTGATTTTGAACATGTATTCTTCAGTTGAGGAGAAAAATAACTAAAATAAGTCGTTTCAATGTTAGTTCATCTGTTGTGGACAGATGGTAAGCTACAGACATTTTTTATCGAGGAATAGCAGATATTGCTCGCTCCGGCCATAAGAAGTGTTTCGTTCTTGTTTTACATGTTCCGCAGACTTAGATCAAATTAACGTACACTTGAATTCGCTTGATTGATTGTATGACGTAAACAAGCTAATTCACCAAAATGTCGTGCGCAATTTAAAAGAAAAGTAAAACGATAAAGAAAGCAATAAAAACGTTTCTAGGAAATATCAGGAGCTAATGGCTAATGGTGAGGTAATGCTTAAAGCTGTAAGCCACATTGACGTCATTATATAGAATTTAGAGAACAGCGCGATAACGTCAAGATAAATGAATGATCAGTTAGTACCCCCATGAGGAAGTCAGGATATTAAGTGGGTTCTATATACACTTCGCTGACAAAAGTAAAATATAAAACTTTAAGGTAAAAAGCTGTTAAAATTAGTCTTAACGTTTTCGATCTGTTTGATCATCATCAGAGTGATGATGATCAAACAGATCGAAAACGTTAAGAATCATAATTCTAACAGCTTTTTACCTTAAAGTTTTATATTTTAAGTGGGCTCTAGTTCACTGAAACCTTGTGTTTGCATCATATATCGTCATCAAAATATCTAAACTCGGAACCAATTACTTTACAATTTTTACGTTTGCAGACCCGTATTATTTGAATTTTAGTTTCAATCGCTCAACTGAATTTTGGCATGGAAACCAGCATTTGTACATGTTGACCATAACAAGCGTTTATAAATAAAATTGAATTAAATTGAGATAATATTCTGGGATAACGATTTACCACATCATTCTCATTTAGAAGTGTTTCTTGCGGTGGTCAATATATGTTTAAAAACATCAGCTGTATACCAGGCAACCCTCATCTTGAACAGTTATTTATCCGATATGACTTCGTCATGAACAGCGCTTTGGTTTTCAAAGTTTACCGACTTGTTCCTTTTTTATATGTTAATTCCACAATGCCTTATATTTGGTTTGGTTTAATAGCAAGCAACTGAAAACCAAAATTACTTAAAACCACTGAAAACCAGTGCATGAGCTTGTTCTCCTAGTATTCTTTGAGAGAAAATGTATTCAGTTCTACCATTCGTCGACATAAAAGAAGCGATGGAAAAAATTACAGCAAACCGTTACAATGAATGAAATGAACCTGTGTATGATGATGAATACATTTTGTTATTTCACTATCTTTAAAGGTATTTCTTTTTAACAGGGAGCAACTTGTCCCTTGGACTTTGGGAAGTTGCATTTTAGTTTTGATAAAAGGCAGAGTTCAACGTCCATTTTCGCGTGTAGGGAATGTCCAGTGAACGCAAGTGATGGTGATACATTCCTCGCCGATGGGGAATGGACTCAGCCTTCCAGAAGGTCAGTCAATAATATATTCCTGATTTTGTAATCCAGCTTGTACAGTTTGTGGCATCTTTAGAATTGTTGCACGGTAGGTTTATTCACAGACTTTTAAAAAAGCTAAAAGCACCTTGCACATCATTCTTAAGGGAGCTACATCACGGTTTGCGCAACTTCAAAAGGTTAGCCTAAGTGTTTCAAGTTCCTCGTTTGTAGTCCATGTTAATCTTCTCCATTCTTAACCATCCCTGTTCCCGTCTGGTTTATTATTATCTATTTGGTGGTTTCCTTTCTTAATAAACTACTATTTTCAGGTTTAAATGTAATAAAAAGTAATTTTGCACGAGGCCGAAATAACTCAAAATGCCGCGACTGAATTCCTTTAACAATGACAACAAGTGTCACTCTGCAGCATTACATGAGTCGAATGACTAGACACTAGATTACTTGTCTCAAGTTTTGTCTCCTGATGGAAAGTAAAACTCTCCCATAGCAAGAGATGATGATCTATTCCCATAGTGTAACAAATGTTATAATCATTATTTTGTAGGCTACCGAGATTACCATCAGTAGAAGGTAAAAAAACACCAGAACCCTTGAGTTCAACATCAAAAGACAGCTGCCAATCACCTGTCACTGTCAATCGAAAACCCTCATGGAATCCTCCAATTGTTGTTAAAGACAATATGACGTCAACGGACAAAGCGTTTCCGAGGGAGGCACACGAGACGAAAGGCATCCTGGGAGGTAACTATGGTGACAGTGACAATTCGAATTCTTTTTTCACTACAGAGCCACACAAGAAAGGCAATGGTCCTCGGGTCAGACGGCAGACATGGAATGGCAAAATTTTACCCAAACTACCGGAACCACAACCGGTTACCGCCCGAAAAAGGAGCTATTCTGACAAAGACCAGCCCCAGACACACAGACAGTCGAGTTTGTGGGATTCAACAGAAAATACCTCAGACGACATTTCATGCTTTCATAGTGACGAAAATGTTTTTGTGGCTGACTTAAACACTTCATGGAACAAGAAGACTTTCCCGACGGCAGAGGACGCTCTCCGCAGAAATCTTCTTTCTGTACCAGAGCACCCAGTTAGGAAATCAAACTCATTGAATTCTTTGAAGGCTTTAGAAAGTCTTCCACCAGTTCCAGAGAGCGAAGAATGTCAAGCTTCCGGCATGGGCTATAAGGCTGGCGGAGTCACTGAAGGAAACGCAAGTGGTATGGCTCTATCGCCAGTCGGCGGTAAAGACGCCGTAAATCCAGATCCCGTGTTTCCGTCATCGCAGCGCCGGCATCAACGTTTAAGCAGACAGGAAAATGTTACGAGAGATTCTTCAAGTAGTTATGTATCAAAAGTCCCCACTGAATGTTCCATAGAGGCCCCCAGTGGATTTGGTGCTGCTAGAAAGATATCTGTTAAATACAAGACTGGTCAAACTGTCAGTAAGCGAGGTGAGCTCACGAACAAAGAAACAACCGTGTTTAAGAACACCTCTTCAAAACGAGAAAAACTGGCTGCAAGATCGATG